AGCCGCCTTGGGTAAATCCTTTACAAAGACTCATACGGCAATCAGGAAGCCATCCTTCGTGAACATCTGAAATTGATATTAGTGAATCACGTGTTCCACATAAATGAGGGGACACCAACATGTATCGATGAGCGAACGAACCATTCTAGCCACAGTGGAAGGATCCAAAACTGTCAAAAATGGTGTCTGAGAACGGAATAAGTCCCAAATGCTAAACTTTGGTGAGCGCTATTTTCAAAGTTTGCGATCAAAACCTACCAGTAGAAGGAGTCGAAGTAGGGTTCATCACTCTGCCATAACGGGTTTTCACCAGTATAATCTTGAGGATTGACCATAGTCCTATAAATTCCACTGTAAAAGTTTGTCAAAATCGAAGAGTCGATTCCTGTAGTCGAAACTTTAATAGGAGAGATCTTGTTGCGCCAGGTAGTCTCTGCGGCATTTTGTACAGCAGCAAAGTCGAAATCAGGAATTTCTGCTTCGGCATTTGCACATGCTTGATCGCTGCTAATATAGCTGACACCAACACGTGCGAGAATTCCATCGCCGGGTGACTGGAAACGAACAAATGCTCCTCCCGGAAGAGGATAACCATTAATTGAGCGTGAAATTTTGAGATCCTTGACATCAGCACTAGCACGGCTGTTGACAAATATACCATTGTCTCGAATCGAAGCACCCGAAAAATCTGCACAGAAGTACAGAACATAATTTCCACTGCCAAAACTAGGCAAGAATTTGCCATTCCCGGTCATTCTTCCCGTAGTAGCATCAACAGAGACGCTGGCATTGTCTTGACGAGAGTCAGACAAGTCCGTCAAATCCATCAAGATCAATGGGCTGGAAGCATTTCCATTCGAAGTGGCTGGAAATTTGAATCTGAACAATGATGTATGTTGTGTTGTCGTCATATCCACAGCAACACCACTGGATAATGTAAGTCCAAAATATCCTGGAGATGCCTTGACTGAGTCTGCAACGAAAGGGATGGCTCTTGATTTCTTTGGATAAGTACATCCGTCTACAGTGTCTCCCTTGCATCCGGCATAAGGAAATAATGCAAAGTTTCCCAAAGATGGAGAACCTCCGGTTCCAGAATCATGCATACTAGAAAACCCAGTGATATTGCTACCATCAGTCGTGAAACCACCCTGGTTGCTACCAGAATTCGTATCTGCTACAGCTTTCGCCATTCCTAGAAAGCCGTTAATACAAGATTGATCTATATATTGAAGCGATGGACATTTGTCCAATCGAAATCCCCATCGCCGTTACAATTGGAGGTTGTCGGACCCCACGGTCAGTCTCATTAGTTACTTACCAAAAGGAACTGTTGCACCAGGAAACACGTTTCCTTTCAAGATACTGTCAGCATGAATAGGAAAGGTTGGCATTCGAGAATCGAACCTCCATTACTACTTCCAATCAATTGATCAACATAATCGAGTACATCGTATGTCGATGAGTTAGTGGTACCATTCTGACCCGCAACCAGACAAAAAATCGTGGAGAACACGGCCAAGTGCAGACCGTTAAAGAAAGCCATGACTGGCAGTAAATCAAAGCAAGTAACACAGAGACTGTTACCGTGAGGAAACCAGAGTCGACAGAGTCGGGACTATATAAAATCTACTCGACCATCTTATAGTGTGCTCAAAAATAGGGGTACAGAATCAATACTGCACGTGCAGTTGTCCTTGCCCATAAAGGTCGCATATCAATTCCCATAAAGGAAGCTCATAAACCCTAATCATACGTTACAGGAGCTTTCCTGGTTGACAAGTGAGTTGCAATAACCTCACGAATGGAAATGAAATACATGCTTTAATTTAGCAGATAGAAATAGTGTATGTGACATGCAGGGGAATCCGGATTGTATGGTTACAGTGCTAGGCGCAACAGCGAATGAAATGCATTGTTCAATATATCTTCGACACGATGGAAATGTCCCCGCGCACCTTATGCAGGTCCCCCGCAATCATCTACCGGGTATTCCGCATTATCATTCTTGATAAGAACCAACACCGGTAGATTAGACCTTCGGGTTAAAGTAAATCTCTTGTCCATCTGATAGATGTTCTTCGATGTTTGTCTCCATTTCCTTCCTGACTTGGTCCTGAAACCTTTCCAAGGATGCGTGCCGATCATACCAGCCAGATTGAACAACGACTGGATCAACAAACTAGAATTGATTTTCTGTGTGTAAAAACTATGCAGCTTCTTGTTTGCTCGCATCTCATGATTCAATTAAACCCGTTGTTGTAGCATGTTATACTGCAGCAGTGCATGTGCGCTGCTGTTGTGATCAAAATCCACGTTCTGTATGTACTCAGCCATGCATTATCGTTCCTCTCCGGTTGTGAAGCCGATGAAGTATTGAATGTCGTGTCCAGAACTATGGAAGACGGTGCAGATGGAAGAAAAGCAAAATGAAGGGGATGTTGAGTTGAGAGGGGATGGGAAGCATTTATCCTGAGATATCGGTAGAATATCGGTTAATCATTTGTTCATCAAGGGCGAACCCTCAATACCAGTCTCAGCACCCAACACCCACAATGAGCGAAGACCTACTTAACGAGATTGAAGCCATAAACTCCATCTACGATTCCTCGACTCTGACATCCGCGCACGAAATTCCAGATGAAATTTACATTCTCGCTCTCCCCAATCAAACGACCTCACTCCGAATACAATTTCCAGCAGCATACCCAGATGTCCCGCCTATAATATTGGGAGCGCAGAGTTCCGGAGAGAATGCAAAGAAGGGTGATGCAGGGAAGCTGGTAGATTTCGTGAGGGATATTGTGGGGAGAACTTGGAAGGTGGGAGAGGTTTGTCTATTTGATGTTATTGAGGAGGTCGGAGAGGGGTTTGGCGCTGGAGATGATGAGGGCGATGGAGGAGATGAGGAAGGAGAAGAATTCGCAGATTATGAGGAAGGTACGGTCGTTGAAAGAAAACGAGATACTTCGAATGGGGATATGAATATAGATATCGAACCTCCCAATTGGACACTTTCTTCGGTCACCACCGAATTGAAATCTACATTCATCGCACGCTGCGTCTCCGTTTCTTCCCCCGCTGTCGCAGATCAATACATACAACATCTACTTGCTTCGGACAAGAAGGTCCGTTCTGCAACCCATAATATCACAGCGTGGCGCATCAAAACACCGGAAGGCATAACATATCAAGATTGCGATGACGATGGAGAATCCGCGGCAGGAGGAAGAGTTCTGCACCTAATGCAGCTGATGGATCTATGGAATGTGATGGTGGTTGTTACAAGGTGGTACGGAGGACAGAAATTAGGAGCGAGGAGGTTTGCTGTTATCAACGCAGTGGCGAGGGATGCTTTCGTAAAGGGTGGATTTGTGGTTGAAAAGGGAGATGGAAAGGAGGGAAAGAAGGGAAAAAAGTGACAAGGGATGAGGTTAAACTTGAGAGAGGCACGATATACTAGGGATTTAACTTTGGATATGTATATGCTTTGGCTATATGTGCAGAAGCATATCACACTGAGTTTCCTGCGAGCTTCAACCCACCAAGTCTTCGATACATCTTCCAGAGTCACAACCAAAGTACTACCAAGTAAAAGGGCCAAAAACAGCCAGAAGATATGAGGTCCTGGGCTCCAGCGTAACGAGAGTTCCTCCTCGTAGACTTTTCCTCTAAGTATCCACTCATCCAAACCCTCCACTACCGCCTGTGCGTTGCCTTCATAGAGAATATTTGACTACTAATGTTTTTGCAGAACTTTCGGAGAGATTAAATGACACAAGTAGTGAGGAAATGTTCAAATACATATGGTCGATCAAATTGTACATGTTTTGAATTTGGAAAGCAGTGTCTTTGGCTGGACGTGTTGGGCTAACTAGACACGATTCCGAGTCGTAGTTGTCCCAGATCTCCTTGGACAATGTGGGATTTTTATTTTTCTTGAATCTCACATTGTCCCAGATCTTCTTGGATAATATGGGATTTTTATTATTCTTGAATCTCACATTATCCTAGATCTTCTTAGACAATATAGGATTTTTATTATTCTTGAATCTCATATTGTCCCAGATCTTCTTGGACAATGTAGGATCTTTATTATTCTTGAATCTCACATTGTCCAAGAAGATTTATCCATCCAAGTACGTGCGTGTGCCGTATGATTTGCGTATGATTGATCATTTGAGTGGAAAGTATAGAAAAGGTATGAACGAGGACGATTGCGAGAAGGCAATTTATAGCAATTTACAATAAATCCGCCATATTGATTGATTGACCTTGTCGTCCTGAAAATCAAAGAGAATCTCACACGCATATTGGGATATAACATACCGCTTGAACATAGATCCAGGTTTGTGATTGGCCCAGCTTGATATTCTCAAGGCATAGTCAGATCATGGAAATGTATTCTGGGATTACTTGGTAGGGTAATCGTCAAGAGACCAATTATTACTCATTGATCGAATTTGATTCACATCCATATTCACAATCACATTTATTACAATCACGTCTAAATCTATATTTTTAATCACAGCAAACTCAAATTAAATGTTTTATATGAATCCATTGCAGTGAATAAAATCTCTATCTATGCATACCAGCCCTTCCTGCCTGTCTCATTTGCACACCTGGTGATAATCCCCTGCCATCCATCCATCCATCCATGCACCAATCCAGTTCTCCAGTCATAAGTCATCATCACAAGAGCCTTTAAAGGCAACGAAGGTGTAGTATCACAAGAAATAGAAAGAAAAGAAAGTAGTAGAATAATATGTACAAATTGTAAAAGTGTCCGACCCACCCTGTGAGTCAACAAGATGGGAAATGCAACGCGCGCTGTGCTGTGTGTAAATGCATCATGCCATGCTCGGAATCCGTGAAAGAAATATCGTCTATCCCGATCGGATCCTCGATTCAAGAACGTCCTGCGAGCTCAAATCTACTGGTATTGTCATCTAGCCAACCAGGATCTGAGAGTGAATGAAGAAAATCAGCAAGCTGATTTAATTGAACATCTCAGCACCCAGTCCTCGTCGAGCAGCGTGGCGCATCAAACCCATTCCGTTTCTCTTGGCAATGACCAAATTCATCGTTTGGCCACTGGTGCAAGTGGTTCCGGAAGCCATCTGCATGACGACGCTCCAAGTACCACTGCCACATTGTTGATAAGAGGTTCCAGAAATGCAGTTGAACATTCCTTCGCTTGTGCAGGCGCCGGTGAGAGCTCCTGAAGAGGAAGTTGATGAAGCGCCGGTTCCAGCTGGTGCTAGGGCAGAGGTGGCAGAGGTTGGGGTTATTGGGACACTGACGGCAGTAGTGGCAATTGTGGGTACGACTCCAGCTGCTGAAGTTGCTGCCAAGGTCGCGGAAGTAGCAGCGCCAGTACCAGTAGCAATTGAGACAAAAACACCTCCCGGAAGCGAACTTGCGGTCGCTGTACCGTACGGAGCAGCCGCAGCACTAGTGGCTCCAGTTCCAGTCCCAGTCCCAGTCGGCTTTGCAGAAGCAGCACCAGCAGTAGGCTTAGCGCAAGATCCAGTTGGTGCAGCGGTAGCGGTTGTAGAGCCTCCATCATACTCAACGGAATCACCTGGGTTGGGGAAAACCACATCCGTAGAGTCAGTTGTTCCACAACCATTGCCGATGTTGGCAGTGAACATGTCTGGGAGAGCATTGAAAGCAGCTTGGTCTCGTGCGATGAGGTCGCTGCGCTTGCTGGAGCCGCCGGTGAGTGTAACGGGTGCACAGTTCATGTACATTTCACGGTTTCCGATCTTGTTGAACCAAGTCCATGCGAGCGTTGCTTTACCAGCTGGAAGAGTTGAGGGAATGGTGAAATTGTAGGTGTCTGGATCGACGGCATCTTTGTTGTCTCCGTTGTTTCCGGCAACGTTTTTCATGGGGCAACCGCCGATGATGGAGTGAATGACTTTGAATGAGCTAGAGGCAGAGGGAGTTTCATCATAGGTGATAGATACTTGGCAAGATCCACCTCCGTGAACGGCACTACCCTTGAATGCAAGATCATAAGATCCACCGAGCTCCATGGTGTTTTGAGTGGTGACTTTGTAGACTCCATCTCTTTGCTTGCATGGAAAGTCGGCTCCGCTTGCTTCCAAAGGAGAGTTGTTGAGATTGTCGACTCCATATGGAACTGGGTTGGTCATGATCATGTGAGCATTGCTGACAGCTGCGAGAGCAAATGCTACAATGGATGCTTTGGAAAACATATTGAATGAGTGGTTGAAGATTTTAATCGTGCCTGACGGAAAAATCTTTGTAATTTGTTGTTGTATAGATTTACTCTATTTGTGCAGTTGAAGAATCGTTGTTAAAGTCGAAAGATCGTGTTGTACTTGTAGAGAATGGATGTGGTAATAATCTGGAATGAGGAAAAAAGATCGAGGTCAGTCGGAATGCCAAGTTTATATTATTCGAGGAGGCTGACTGTTCTCGAAGTTTGGAATAGAAAATCGAATCACAACAATAATTAAACAAATTGTTTATTGTTATGAATAGGTAGAAAGGATGAGTAACTGAAGAGATTATTCGGATTATTCACTCTCTCCAATGACACTTCAATAGAGAATAATAATTAAAAATGGTGTGTAACCGAATCCTTCCTATTGTCTCATCCGACGACGACGAAACGAAAGACAGGCAAACAAAATGACAAAGGACTTTTCGAAAGTGCAAGAGGATTCCACAATGTGATAACAACAAGAACAAAGAAAAGATTCAAGCATTGTTTCACGTACCTTCAAGAAGTTTATTGTTTCAAGGTCAAAGAATTCGATATTCTTCTGAATGTGTCGGTAAATGAATGGAATTCGTTCTTTCGCTGAAAGTGTCTCAAGGAATGTAGTAGTATTGGAAATTTTCTCTTGTCACAGACAATAGAGAAATAGAAATGCTCGAAAAGATGGAAGACGAATTTTACAAACAAAAAGGTAGGTACCCTTTGAAAGAAGAAGCAAGTGCTCGAAGGAGAGTTGGAATTGAGAGAAGGATGCCGAGATAATTCAAGGTGGGACGGGCCTGACCATCTTATATCTCTCAGTCTGAGAGTCGATCAAGATATCTCCAAACGGGACATGGGTGAGAAGGACTTTCTTTTCGACCCAAGAGGACAGTGAATTGCAAAAACTGCAGCAAGGAAGGTCGGAAACAATGGCTTAATTGGTCATGGTCGCCTGCATATCTTCTGTCTCTACCTGGTCGACAAACGTCCCATGTGGGAATTTGCAGGGTCTCCAGGATCTAAAATCCACTGCATTTAGATGACCCATTCTCGCAAGGCTAGAGAAAGGGCAACTTGACATAATACATAACCAGTTGAAGTGGCTATGTGACTGGAGAAGAAATACATCTGAAGCATTGGTACTCTTTCGTACATTTTAGGATGAATGTGGATGATTTTGAATCAGTATAGATGGGATGTGGTTTGTGTGGTTAGCACAGACGTTGAATGATTGAGAATCTGCAGGGGAAAATGTCATTTGATAGGCTCTTGTACCTTGCTTCGGTTAATGGCGAAACCTCATGCTGTGCATGCTGTGCATGCTGTGCCACTGAAAGGACGAATCTTTGGAATTATTGGCCCCTGAGTAATATCCACAGTGCTCAAGGAGTAAAGAAATGTGTGGAAGAGTCAGGTTGATCGGTATTATTCGAATTATACGAAGATCAGAAGGAAGAGAGGGATGCCAGTCAATACTTTGAATCATGGATTCATAATGGATGATTTTGTTTTTCTTGCATTCTATCACGTTGAACCTATGGATTGAACATCATCCGTTGGGCTTGAGAGGGGGTTTCGTTTGGAATTGGAGCCAGCAAACCGATCTCAATTGTACTGTATTGCCGTTGCGCGTATGCAAGAAGCCCATGTAAGTAGAGGTCGACAGCAGACCATAAGCCAATTACGTGATGATGCAATTAGGTATTCAAACAAAATCTTTTTGTTTCTGTTCCTGCAGCCCGAACCCCTGGATTTTCATGATTTTCCTTTTATATGAAAAAACCCAATCGTCTTGCATATGCGCTAAGATATGAAAGTCCCCCTTTTATCACAAATAGTCCTCCACACGGGAGCTGGGAATAAACATCTTGGCAGGGGCTAGCCAATCAAATTAGTTTATGGTCAATTCTCCTTGCAACTGGATAGGTTGCCGCCACGGTCGTATACGACGACTCGTGAGAGTCCATAGTACCCACCAACAAACAACGCAAAAGAACTCTTGACTCCATAGATCGTATTCTTGAATCCTTTGACCCTGACCACCTGATCTTTGGGCGCCAAGAACAATTGACCTACCAGTATTGCACCTTTTAATCGTATCGTGGATCTATTTGTTGAAAAGGTCCAAATGTTTCTCGTTCATTCGACTTAGATGCTTGCTCATCCGAAGAATTTCTTCGGAGTTTGTCGATCATGTCAATCAATCCTTGTTGAATGGATGCTCTGTGAACCTTGCCCCTCGCGGTTAAGTTGATCATGAAACACACGTCTCGACTGTTGAAGAATAACATTTCGGAGATTTTGCGGACGGCCGGTACCTATTGACTCTTGAGGGGTCCCACAGGCGGCCGAAATCGTCATCGTTATTATGAAATGCCGTAAATGACCCCAATCCTATACCAACTCCCATAAGAGATGATTATCTAGGTACGTATAGATAGAAATTCTTGGTTGATCAAGATAAGCGCGCTTAACGAATACTTACCTCCCCCACTGTGGGGGCCATTCTCATCCTTTCGGGTTTCTTTGACCCTTTTCGCCCTTTCAACCTGGACTCTAGGTTGCCATCATGGGCTATCGTACATCATTTGCATCCTTCCTAGATTGAAACAAATAACGTCCAGGTTCCCCACTGCACGTGCCTTGTCTGTTGCATAACAATCTGATCGCACAGCCACATGTACTCATTTCGAGGTTATCCCTAGATGTCTCGAGTAGATCAGTCAAATTGAAGCTTCGTTTAAGGAACTTTATTCATGCATTTCTTCTGTTCGTCCGGTGGCAAGACCTAGATCGTCTTTACAATCGGAGAATTCAGCTGATCATGGAGCCGGGGGTATTGTCCGAGTGGTGGGAAGTGGAAACATTTCGTGCTTGATCTATTTAGTATCTCGAATACGGTTGTGGCGAAGGGATATCTACTAGCTAAATGCTGGGAATCTTTCATATGTCAAATTGTCTGTTCTCATATTGGTCTTTAATGACTCAAGAGATACATTTTGCGCTGAGTTGGTGTGAATACCTAAGCTCGACGTACTATGATCACGCCTTCGTAAAGATGGATCTAGCATTCTGTCGTATTGTTACTATCGTCAAGACATTGCCATATTCTTATTCAGCAAGTTGAGCAGCTGTGCTTGAGCAGTAAGTCAAGACTCAAGACTATTCAGCTCGAAAAAGAAAGTACTGCATCACGCCAAGCTATCTACGATATACCTCCCTGATTTAATTTCAACACGTTTGCTCTCACAACGACTTCAAAGGCCGTTCATACATTCCTACATTCGGATCCTCAAGTTACTCGCCCCTCACTTTTACCAAAATCCTTCATATCCCCCATTTCAAAACTTTTAAAAGTTCATTAGTTGTCTTTTCTTCGATTTCATTTACACAAGGCTATTTGCCAATGCTTGGGGGCGCTCCTGTCAACCCTTTCTATTTCACCCTTGGCAAGAAACTCAAATCCTCCCGTTTCAACTCCCAACAGCATGTCATTATGTAAATGTCTTTCACACATTCGATAGCCAGCATTGCTTATTCAAGTCATGGGAGACTGACGATTACGAGAAATAATGCTAAGGCTGGTCGATGGTGCATGAATTTGTTGTTTTCCTAGCAAGCTTGAGAGCTTCAGAACGGGAACGTCTTATAAAAGAATACTGATTTCTTAATAGTTAAGGCAGCGTGATACAAGAACTGAGCTGCAGAACCATGCTTCATACCAAAAATTTAGGGATGAGGGCTAAGGCCATTCATTTCAATACAATATTTCTATCAGATTATCCCTCTTTTCTTTAAAAAACACAAACCCCTGTATCATATTCCAAGATCCTTCTCAACGCCGACTTAAAATTACATTTTCAAATATCGCATTGCCAGCTTCTTATGCGTCCTCAAATTTCCAAACTGCTCGGCTATCAGACGTAAGAATTAGTAACTTCTCTCACAAAAGACGGGGAAGAAAAGAAAGGGAAAGCATACCAGACGCCACATCTAAGTTCTCTCCCCACTTGATTTCTCATCCACTCCTGAAGACATCCATTACAGATATTTTGCCCACACTGCGCTCGACACCAATCCGCGTCTTCATGTCGGCGGATGGGTTCAAGGCAGGAATAACAATCGGTAAGGGGTTTACGTTGAACTCCGCGTTGAACAGGACGGGGCCGGAATAGTTGCGGTACTGCAAAAGGGTATGGCACTGGCACTTGCGCAATTCGCCTATTCTCGAGCCTCCGCAATGCCGTTCGTGCTGCTCGTTCTTGTTGTGCTTCTGCTTCTTCTTCTTCTTGTCTAATTAGTTCTTCCTCCTCCATCTCTTCTCTCATCAGTCTCAATGCAAACTCTCTATCCATCCTCACCATTTCATCTCTTTCCTCGCGTATCCTATTCGCTTCCCGTTGTCTCTCCCTTTGGATTCTCTCGACTTCTCGTCGTCTCTCCTCCTCTTCTCTTTGCCGCATTGCTGCCTCTCGCATCTCCCTCTCTCTTGCTCGCATTTGTTCCTCTCGTATTCTCTCATATAGTCTCCTTCGTTCCTCTATCCGCATCATCAGTTCCGCTCTCTCCGCCTCATCGCGCGCAAGACGTTCCTCCAGATCCTGGATTTGATCCGCGATTTCCATTGGATTCAATTCGAGACGCTGAAGAGCCCGTTCAGGAGCAGCTGGCTCCACGTCTGCAACAGGCCTATGTTCCCTCCTCCGCTGTATCATCTGTGCTCCATTGTTTCTCATTGCTTCTTGCGCCATCTCCACCTTGCGCCACCACTCTTTTCCTACTCTTTCGACCTGAGACTGTCCTCCTCCATCATTGTGTCTATCACAAATTATTTCATCAAGAAGCTCTTTTATTTTTGCCTTTAGCCCTCTTTCATTATAGGCTCGTCCGGAAATAGGTAGTGCTGAAAGTTGATCCAGTAATTCAGATGCTTTGATGCGTTTTGGTTTCCCAATACGATTCTTGCATTTGCGATTCATGGTTATAGCT